ATGGCTCAGTCGGATGGCAAATCTCTCAGCACTCTTTTTTTGGATAGATTGCTTTCTCTTGCTTGGGAAAATAACAAGCTATAGAGTAATGACTTAACAAGCAACAGGATAATGGCTTCAACATGTGCAAGACTGGATGCATGTGTCTGTGTGCGTGCGTAGATTTGGGATTGCGGGAGTACTTCCTTACTGTGTGTGTGTGTGTGTGTGTGTGTGTGTGTGAGAGAGTCTATTGTTTGGAAAAAACTGTGCAGAATCAACTGGTTGTGTGTTTGGTTGGAGTTGTTTGAAAGCTGTGCCACTGATGAATAGAGCGTTCTGCTCGAGGTCTGGAGTTCTGGAGCCTTTGGGTGCGTTACAATGACAGAGACAGCCTGTGGGGTGTCAGTGGGAGTGCAGGGTGTTTCCATCATAACCAGCTGCTGCATAAGCCTCCCAAGTAGAAAATAAATGCTCAGAGTGTATGTCTGTGTTCACCTACATGTGTGTGTTTGTATATTGAGATGTTGAGGAGTGGGACACGAATGTGTTGATAAATGACTAAATTGCATTCCTCATATGCACTAAGTGTATGTACATGAAGCAACTAAATGGTGCTTACTATCCCCGGGTGTTTCAATGCTGTGCATCTGTTCCTGCTGCCTTAACTCTTAACTTTCTTTGATCTCAATTGGAACAAATGGGAAGCACTCACACCTCAGCCTTCAACAGTGACAAACCACACTCCAGTCCCTGCCAGTGCCGCGTGTTGGTGTGGCTTTAAGACTCTGTGAACCTGTGAGCGTGTTTATGGGAAATGACATGCTACTGACACTACCATGACTCAATTAGCAGTCCTCGTCCTGTCAGAGATATTCATTTGTGCGACACGTTCAGTCTTGGCATGATCTGGCTTGCCTGAGTTAGTCTTCTCCCTTTCACACACAGCTTTCTAAGTTTCAACAAATCACAACCCTGCACCGAGTAGGAGAGAGGCTGTTTCCCAGCACGTCACCTGATGCTGTGTACACACTGTTATGCCATGACATGTCCTGACAGGTGGGCCCAGATCTACATCACCTCTTTCATAATTCTCTTTTAAGGCCTCAGGCTGCAGCTCAACGTCGCTTTGCACCTTGTCTGGGAAAATATGCTCAGGTGCATTCCAGTTTGGAGACAGGTGATATTTCCTCTATACTCTGAGTTGGAGAGGTGTTTATTATGGGCTACACATGTCAGGTGACTTTGCTTGTCTGTGGCTCTATAAATCCTCTTTGCTGGTCAGTTCACCTCTTTTATACAGATTAAAATATCTCAAAATGATTGATGGTTAAATGGCTTGTTATAATCACTTCACTTTACAGTATCACCTGATATTATTCAGTAATTACAAGTCAAATTAAAACCTTCAAAACTAATGACATTGAAACCAGCATCATCAGGGCGCCAGTAGCCTTGAGTTTACTGCACGTGTCCCATATATTGAGGCTTGGTCCTCAAGAGCGAATGGAAGGGGTTTGAATCCAAACTGTGGCTTTCCCGCATGTCGTTCCTCACTCTCTCTCACTGGTTTCTGACTCTATCCACTGTCCTATCTCTGGAATAAAAGAAAAGGCATAACACCCCCCCCCCCCCCAAGCAAAACAAATACAAATTTTGTATTTGTGGTAAACAAACAAGTCCATGCAAAACGGAATCAATAAACATGAAAAACATAGTATCTACTCATCATTGGCATGTTCATTTGGTCATGATGAGCATAAAGCATGCTTATTTCATAAACATTAGGTCAAAGCTTCAGAGTTGATAACTTTTTGTTTTTATGTTTTCTCCTTGGCTTCGTTTTTCTTTTGTGTTCAGGAGACAAGCTGCTCTTCAGTTTGTTGAAATGCCACACAAGAATTTGGGAGTAATGATTGTTAGGCAAGCTGGGTCAGGATATACTTTCTGAGAATCTCTTGTTTCCTGTCCCAGGGTAGAAGTCAGGTTTATTTTCTCCCTCCCTCTCGCCTCCAGTCCCTCCAGCCCCTGTGTGAGGCAATGCCCAGAAGGACACACAGCTCAGGCGCCATCCATCCTTCCAGCTCTCCCCCTCTCTACTCGCTCTTGCAATGCTTCTCACTGGCATGGAGTCCACAGCAACACATGTCTCTGATCAAGTCCAGCCTGCGTCATCAGTTAGTAAACTCCAGGCTCCAGGAAAACCAACAGAGAGCACATTCATAGCCGGCGACCCTGTGACTGAGTGTGTGATTCATTACTCTTTAATATGCACCCCCTACCCCCATCCCCTAACCCACCCAACCACTTCTCCAATCCAGCCTCTGGGCAACTCCACAGCCTGATCAAATCCACCATTAAGCATACTTGTGGTGTTACCGCTGTTGGCCTTATTATTTACCAGATGCAGCATTTGTGTCTCTGGCCTGCTGCAGCTCAGCAGAGAGGAATGAGTTGTGCATTCTGACATTTACATCAGTAATTTAACTATGTTCACAAGAAGACAACATAGCAGAAGATCATTCAGAGAGAGAGAGAACGCTAGTCTAACTGGACAGGAAAGTTTTCATCACCAAAAATGATGAGAGTAATGACAAACCTTTGATTAACAGACAAGTCTTGGGCGTACGAGGCCAAAATGTGCCATGTGAGGAGAGGGGAGTTTGGAAAGGAGGGATAGGAGGATAGCTTCAATTCTATCTGTTTCCACTGTCAGAAATGGCCTCTTTTTACAGAACATTACAGTACTTATGTAGCATGCAATGCAGCCATGGTTTACCGGATTGTCAATTAGCTTACAATCAAGTGACTGTAAGTTATCTGTGCTGACTTCTGACTCTCAGGTGATAGTCACAAGCGTAAAAAAGGGCGTAGACACATTTTCAGCATCTTTTATGATTCTGTGTGTACAAGCACCAGACTGAACCCCAGTCCAGTCTCAAAGTGTGTGTTTAAAGGGCTTTTCCTGGGAGAGCTCTCTCCAGCTCTTGTGTGTCATGAGAGCAGGATGAGTCGTGTTTATTAGATGCTGACAGCTCCTTCCTGTGTCCCAGGCCATGAGCCCTAACTGCTGCTACTCTGAAGGCCACTCTCTGGTTCCTGGCCACCCTACTCCATCCTGAAAACTTGGCTAAAAGATGGCGGGGGCCATGGGTGGGACAGCTGATTGGGGGATGGGAGGTGGTGCTGGTATTGGCACAACGGAGCAGCAGCAGAAACAGTGCTCTCTGCAGCTTCATGACCCAGGCTTCTTTTTTTGTGTAAAGTAGGCCAATGTAAACTCCCACTTCCTGTCGGCCTTGTCTCAGAGGGGGCGAGATGATCCTTCTGTGGAGAGGGAAAGGGCTGCTGCTCTGTAGGGACCGTTTCCACTCACCACACACACACACACACACACACACACACACACACACACACACACACACACACACACACACACACACACACACACACACACACACACACACACACACACACATAAATAGAAACACAGTCGAAGAGGCAGGCAAAGAGAGTGAGTGGGAGAGAGCCAGAGAGTGAGAGAGCGAGGAATACACAAACACAGTGGGGTTCAGGAATGTTAAACACATGCTTTATGGCATAAATAGCAGCCACTTTTGGTAAATTACAGTGAGTGCTCTGGCACTGTAAAGCACACAGCAGGAAAACGCTCTCAGATTTCAGATCCAGGCCCTCCACTCTCCCCGAGGAACATGAAGCAGAGCATGTTGTGTTTTCTTTTCTCTACAAAAGGTTGGAATAAGCACAGTTACTTGTGATGCAGCAGAGATTTAAAATACATGAGTTTTCTGTGGCCGATGGAGGCTGTGCTGCTGTGGCAATGGTGACCTCACAAGATTCAAACGTTCAAACGTTTTGCCAAGACGTTGATCAAAAGAATATCAATTTTGGAGATGTAGTGCTTCATCGTTGCTGACCAAAAAAACAAAGTGTTGTAAAAGTTGAATAAAGTTTAAATCAGGGAATGACTTCAGTGGTCTTTGTGAGCAGAACTAACACCCCTACCTCAGGACATAGCAGCTGACATCATCAAAATAGTCCTGAGATAACCTTAAACATCTGAGATTTTAATAAGCCTCTTTCCCTAGAGCAACATGGGTAAATAACCAATCAATATAATAGTCAAAGAAACCACAATCAAGGGCTCTCACATTCACTTTTTGTCAGACCTGGTCTATATTAGGGTACTGATGTTTGAGAATCAAATAAAGAAGTTTGGTTAGAAGAACTTAGTGTGTGAGGGGAGTCTCTGTGTCATGCTGCAGTGGTCGGCCTGGCTGGTAGCTATGAGCACATTTCCCTGACTCAGAGGGAAAGAAGGATCTGTGCTGTGGAAGAGCTTACCTCACTCTTTTGCTGGAGTGGCTGGAGTGGCTGGGCTTCAGCCCACGCACACCAACTAACTGACTGACTGACTGACTGACTGACTAGTGGCCGACTTACCCATTGAGAGCAGAGAGTCATGGGAACCTACAGCTCTGCTCTGAGCAGACTCTGACTCACTGTCTAGGCAGATGAAGAGGAGAATGTTATACTCCCCCTGGGAGGAAAACAATTTCACACACACACACTGCAATCACTACAATAGCCAACTAAGATAATTTCAAGATCTGCAGGGAAAACAAATGACTTCATATCAAAAACAATAAATGTAACTTTCACTTAGGTCCACTTTTAGTAGCATGCAAACACACATTCCTATTTACACAACCAATATTTGCATGGCAACATTGAGAAGTAGGTGGCAGGTGGATACTGGAAACAGGTGCAAGCAGTTGTTCCCGTCCATCACAAATCGTGTTCACCTGCACATCTGCAATTCTACTTCTGCAATTTACCACAATGTCGGCTCAGTGAACACGCCTAATGTCAGATCCAATAGAAGTCTCCTAGTTAATGATCAAACAGATACAACAAATGCATCGACTGCACCCTGCATATTAACACTATCAAATAAGGGATCAAACTGGCATGGATGCTACAAAAAACAAAAGAACCAGTTTTAATAAACATAAATTACTTTATTGTCTGAAAAAATGCATCAGTTACAACATACAGGAAAACTGAAAAGGAGTGAACACACAAGCATTGTACAAAATTAAAATAACACATCATTGGCACATTGCACTATAAAAACTGCCATAAAATGTTTAGGAAAGTTAAAAACTCATCTTTGGATTGTCCATTTACAACGTTCTGATCACATTTACACAACCTTTTCTCCATAATGTAAACTCTTAACAGTTTTTGGTCCCAGCCTTATTACAATTCAAACTGTTTGGCACAAATCTTTAATACTGCTTTGAATGCTGACTTTAAATGAGCAAATACTGAGGTAAAAAGGCACATTTGGTTTCAAAAGTAATACAATTTCAAGGCACACATTCATTTAAGTTACAAAATATGGCTTTGGCTGTTATAATTAACACTGGTAACTCGGAGTGCATGGCTTGCATCGTCACCCACATAAGAGTGGTGCTGCAAAGTGAAGCTTCTTTGGATAACAACTGATAGAAGGTCCTGTCCTATCTCTGAAACCATCAGATTAAAGACAAGGTTTGGATGTAGTCAAAATAAAGGCTTAAAACAATCCCCACCGGTCAGAAAGACTAACTGATGCCATTGTTTTGTAATGACATGCTTCCTCTTTTTTCTTAAGCAAACCAAGGGCAGTGGAAGTCACCTGCTATCAACCAGCGAAGGTCATGGCTGTAGCACCTGTTAGCACCTCGTCTATCTACACCACAGTACCAGGGACAGCTGTGTGTGCATTTGCTTTTGTGCGTGTGTGTGACTGAGTGTGTGTGTGTGTGTGTGTGTGTGTGTGTGTGTGTGTGTGTGTGTGTGTGTGTGTGTGTGTTTTAAGGCATGCTGAGAGATTTATTCCACCCACGCACCCCTACCTCTCAGCAGCTGTGTCTAGGCCATGATCCTGAGCTAGCCGGCACCAGGACGGAGACAGGAAAGCACACCTCTTACCCCTATGAGGTCACTACATATTTTTTCTTTGGAATGGGCACAATGGCAGCAAAGGGGCTGATATCAAGTGAGTGTTTGCATTGCTCTGTTCAGCTTTGGTCCAGCCTCATGACCTCTATCTAGATAGGAAGAATGAATTCTGCTCCTCAGTTGCTGTATCACAAAGCAGAGACGCTAAAAGGCTTGTAAATTCAGATCCAATAATAAGGCTTGATTCCTTCCAGGTCTCTTAAAAAAGAGCCATTTGCTCTTTGTGGCCTTACAGATCATCTTCAGGCCAGCTGGGCTTTTGTAGGCACCATCTCCTGGGCCACTAGCCCACCACCGCCCTGAGCTTTGAGTGGATACCCTTTGTCCGTTCCTGTGGTGTTTCACACCGTGGTGGAGCAGCACCCTGAAGAGCTGTGCTTCTGTAGCAACGACATGCGGCTGAAGGTGCGTGAGCAGATGCCACACTGGTACTTCTTCACCTCGGCATGTGTCTGCAAATGGGCCCGCAGGTTGGAGCGATCAGCGAAGGCCCGGTTGCAGTGAGGGCAAGAGAATGGGCGCTCACCTGGAAAATGAAAGAAAGGAACTTATATGACTTCAATGGCACTTCCTTTAGGTGTGTTAGGTTCATGTGTCTCTAAGTTTACATGAGCCTAACAGTAACACCTCACAACACACACACACACACATTCAGAAGATAACAAGGAAGCACGTGGGAGTGGGGTCAGAGCCTGACTGAATTAACATGATTCAATCAGAGCCAAATCAGATTATCACACTAACAAGTTGCTGCAGGTACTAAGTGCTCAGTGATAGCACAGAGGAATCAGGTGTTCTTTTAACCTTTTGTCACTCCTGCCTTCCCCAGCAGCCATGATAAGATAATTAGCAGACGAGTCATTGTTGTAGGGACATTAAACACAAAGAGTGATCAATGAGAGCAGGGTCTACAGGGGGGCTTCCCTCTGTGATAACGTCTGACGATCAGGTGCTGACCTCATCAGACTGATTGTCATGTATATTCTGCTCCCTCACTTCACACCTGAAATTTTGGAGTGACCTGCTGACTCACAATGACAGCAACTCCTATGTAGATTCACAGCATCACAGGAACACATACACAGATTTCCTCCCCAATTAATCATCAATAAAGTAAACAATTAGCTTATTATTGAGGTTTAATGTGGAATATGGTTAGGCATGGGTCTTACCTGTGTGTGTGCGGATGTGGCCACGCAGCAGCCAAGGCCGAGAAAAAGCCTTTCCACAGGTGGTACACACACAGGGGAGGGTGTGTGAGCGGATGTGCATCTTCAGAGCCCCGAGGCTGGTGTACTCTTTTGGGCAGTGTTTGCAGAGGAAGGCTGGCCTCGCTGCAGTGACTGGGGTCTCTCTCTCTTCTTCTTCCTCAGGGGGGCTAATATGAGCCATAACCCCGGTGCATTTCATCCGCTGGCGAGGGGCATATGTGTGTACGGGTTCAGGACTAGGGGGGTCTGATGTGCGTCCTTCATCCTCCTCTCCACAACTGCTGGCACTGCTGCTGAGGCTGGATGGGGAGCTGAGGTCCAGGGGGCCCGGAGCGGTAGCTGGGTCTGTTTGGGAAGTGGGCAAGTAGAGGGTAGGCAGGACACTCAGATCCCACACCAGACCTGTTGTGAAGCAGGTGGCAGAGTTATATCCTGACTGGAGCTCAGCAAGAGGGAACCTCTCCAGTGAGGTGTCTGAAACAGAAAGGGAGAAGATAGTTCATAACAGGACCCAGATCCAAACTGTTCACAAAAAGTTCAAAAATATTTTAATGAAATATAGAAGAAAATACGACAAGATAACTGTCTGAAAGCTTTTATAAACGTTAACATCTATACCGTTACTGCCCTTTCTGATTTGCTAAGAGATTATTGTTGTTCTTAGAATTTAGAGAGCATAAAGATGGAGCTATGGGAAGGCTTCATGGGCCGTTTCCTCCCACGTATTCATAAGTGCTTGTAACATGAATGAGGCTCTGTCTGGTTGCAAAAAGGGGGAAAGTACGTCTAACGGGCCCTGACTTGAACGGGGAGTAGCCAGGGTTGTCGTTAAACCAGAGATAGAAAGCACAGAACTGTGCATTTTTGAAGTAAGTGTAAATAATACCAAAAAGCCTAAAAGCCACTTCCGACAGCAGGTGGTTTTCACCGAGTTAGACAGTTATGTAAGTAAGCTTTCTTAATTCATACAAGGAATAAAAATATTTTTAACTTACCATTCTGACATTCAAGTTCACTGTAGTTTGGCTTTTGTTTAGCGAAGTACTTTTTGACCAAGAAAGACCGAGGCATCGTCCTTGTGAGTTTAGCCAACTGTGCGTAAAAGTATCCTGTGGTCACGACGCACAGTGTCTGCGAGTATAAAAATGTAGGTTACTGGTGGTCCTCGGATCTTTAGGGGAGAAAAAAAATAATGTACTCCTGTTGTCAAAAAGTTCGAGCGGACTTCAACAGACAAGTTTGAGTGCAGCTTCCATGCACAATGACTAAATGCTAGCCTGTGTTCTGAAATACTCTGTCACAGGCGGTAGGGGTGTGCTCGCCCCGAGGGCCCTCCCCACCTCCTCCACCCCTTCTCAACCCCCTGTATCACCACACAAGTGCGAAGGATGGAGCCCTCACGCTCAGACTTTTGACAACAACAGAAACGCAGGTCTCACACATTGACACAGGGGCATTCAATTGTGTAGCCCTAAAGACAAGACCATTAACAAATCTTTTAGTATATACTCAATGGAAACTACACACAGTAGGCTGATTAATAGGCTTAATTATAAAGGCTATGTTGGGGTAATACATCAAAATCCCCTACAGGGCCATGTGTGGTCAAGATATGTAGATGTTGATATCTGTAAATAGGATTGAATTAGGCTAACTAAGCCAGTTTTCTGCATAGTTGAATTCAGTTTAAATACTACTAGTGAATACTGAATCATACTTGTATATGTGCTGAGAAACACAACGAACTATGCAATGCAGTCTAGTGGGTAGGTTTGCCAGTCTTTTACAGCGCGTAGCCTATAAACACAATCACATTCAAATATATTCTAACACTGAAAGTCTCCAGTATAATCACTTTGAGCAGTGGCCTTTGAGTTGCTTTTATAGTCACCAGTGTTTTTCCTCGCTTTAATTTAGAGGAGAATGAAAGTTAAACATATGCTTCATAAATGATCAAAACATTTCTCACAATTTTCTTTGCAATCACTTAATTGACTGCGTTGTGAGATTGTAACTGTGGTAAATTGGTCATCAGACCTGCCTCAACTTAATTTGACTCACACTTCCTTAAGTCGTGCAGCCTGATGGATACCTCGACAGAGTAGGCCTAGGCTACATGCGCCACCTTCTGGAGGAAACCGAGTAACAAAATATGATCAGTTATCCTTATCCTACTTCATTTTCATTTTTTTAAACTACAGATGTAACATTAGGCTATCAATGACCATCAGGTACGGTGCTCAGCTGCGCACTGCAGCACGGTTTGTGAGTATGTGTGTGTTTGGTTTTCGTGTGTTTAATGCCTATGATTTAATGTGGATTAAATGTTGTCTTATTCGGCCTGTCTACAGGAATGTTTAAGTCTCAAGGATGAGTGAGTGTCCTTCTAACTTTGCTTCTTATTGTGGATAATCAGTCTGCTTGGAAAATGTTTTTCAATGCAGCGTCCGAAAGCACACCTGAATGCAAAAGGGAACAGGTGTTGCGAGGCGGCATGGCTCGCAGTGGCATCAAGCAACTTCTACCGTCTGATGCTGGATGATATCCCCCAGAAGCTAACCAGAATGAAAAAAAAGAGAGAAAGAAACGTAGAAAGACAGGAGGCAACGAAGGAGATCTAATCGACCACCCCTTCCAGCTTTTGCCTTCACAAATATGCGCTCCTTGGGAAAGAAAGTGGACGCTATACGGACATATATATATATATATATATATATATATAAGATAGGCTATTGTACTGGATTCAGTGAGGCATCTTTGTTAAGCTTTACAGAAGGTTGGTTACTATCTACGATGCTTGCCTCTCTTTCATGTCCCTAGATATACTTAGTGCGAGCAGGCAGAGACGGTGACATGGGTAAAATAAGGGGAGGAGGCATCTGTGTGTACATAAACGATCTATGGTGCCGACTGCACTACAACCTGTGATCCCAATGTAGAAATTCTCGGCGTATTTTCTGGCTATGATGCTAAAAGCCCGTGACACAAGTTGGAAAGGTGGTAGCCCACTTACATTACATTACATTTATATCTCCGTTAAACCCACAGACTGATAATATTAAACCTACAGCGCTGTTAACCGGAGCACCGGAAAATCAAGTCAAGAACTACACTTCCGCTTACGAATGTTGTGTGTCTGGTTTAAACCACAGCCTTGCAAAATGAAATTAAATAGTTTGTAGCCTATAGGAAGACCCGTAGGAAATGGATCAAAGTTAGAGCGAAGATGCCATTTCCTAGAAGAGGTGCGCAAAAACAACGAGTTAAAAACCCTTTTTTATAGAAACAAGTCTTCTTGGTAACAATGTTTCCTCTTAGCATGAAACGAGGGCTCAGAGGGCGGCCTCTGATTGGTGGGTTTGCTCTTGTGGGCGGGGACACGGGCGGGTCATCTGTTGTCTGTGATCGGTTAGAGATTTTAAAATACAAAACAACAGCCTTGGATTTAACAGCAGCTGTAGGTTTCCATAGGTTTATCAAAAACAATCCAGATAGCCGGTAAATTTGTTGCATGTTGCAACTCTACAATGGTCTACGGCTGTAACTGAGAAACGATATAATCTGGTAAGGACACTGTCGGGTTACAGTAAAATTAACCACTTCGGGCGTAAACAGACGACTGTTTACATAGATGATGCCATTAGAAAACGCGTTTAACTATTTTATCTTAAATGGATTTAATGTGTACTACTACTGTCATTGATTGTCTTATTTGAGTTAGGTTGCAGTCGTGGAACATAACGATATATTTTTTGCAAACCACTGAGGACTCCTTGAGAGCAAAATGCCTGAATTAATAAAAATATATGTAGGCCGATTTCAGTCAGCGAGGCAAGTTTAACTGTAGGAAGAACTGATCAGTGCTCCTAACATGATTATTCATTTTATTACACCCGTCATTTCTATAATGGTTCCCTCTCTGCCTAAGAATGAAACAACACAATAACAAGATTGCAGCTAGGCTATAGTGCATTATCATTCCAGCTATGAACTCAATGGCTCAGCATATACATTTGAAAGGTGCATGAGATGCTGGATCAAATGAGCCCCTCCCCCATATCAAGACAGATGGACCCTAACAATGAAATTCTGGGGGAGTGGGCACCATTATTTAAACCCAGTGTGTTATACGGACTTTCATTGGACAAACTAGTCAGCTGACCCACGTTTCTTGAATTTTGAAAAATAGTAATGAATGTAGTGTGTTGGCATCACCCACCTCATAACAGTCAAAGGCGGTGTAGAATAAGCATGGCTGAAGGCAGTTATGATGCTGTATGAACTGAGGAAGTATTGTCTCATCTTTAGCAGATAAAGACTCAACACCTGAGCTGTCTGCTGGAAAAGTGAAGGAAGAAAGGAACGACAGACAAAACAAACAGCACAAAAGAAGACAAGGAGAAACCAAAAATGTTCAGAACAATAACCCGTCTGCTTTTCGGTGGGGAGGAGGAGACCCTTCAAGAAGTGAAGTCTGGAGAAGTGTTGGAAGAAGGATGGCTTGTTGTCAGTCATCAAGGTCAGTCATCATGGGATATATATATATTGAATTATATGTTTTCTTACAACAACATAGATAAATGTACATTGGTACATATTTTAACAGCTGTGTTTTGTAAATACATTTTATGAAATTGGGCCAATTGCTTACATAGATGTGGACTTAAATGTTTAGTCAAATATGATGATATGATGCCTTAAAGCCATTTAAGCCAAACAATTGTCTAAATACAAATGACATATTCAACATCTTTTTCTAATACAGCCTGTTTACCTCCTGTGTATGCTTAGCTTATGAAATGTGCACATGAAGAACAGGACAAAATACTTAATGTGATCTAAATTACGTCCAAGTTTATATTAAAAATGGAATTTGTCCCCACAGAGGCCGTCTCAGCTGAAAAACAAGGTGCAGAGCTGACTGACACAAGCCCCGCCCCTCACGGAGATGTTGTTGCAAACATAGAAACTGATAACAGGTATTTGCAAGTAGGATACATTTTTCATTGCAACATGAACATCTTGAACATCAAACAATCATACTCAATTGCTGAAAAGGAAAAACTTAAATGTATTCCATGGTCTGGGTTAAAAATGTATTCATATTGGCTCTAGTCTAGCTCTAATTCCTGACAAAAGCATAACTATGGCGTAGTTCTGGAAAAACTGAATGAATGAATATGCTGCTATCAGTCAAATCCTCCATTTTAATATTTGCAACATGTTAACAAGCTGACAACAAAGAGATACTTTCATGCTTCTTTATACCAATTCCTATCTAGTTTAGTGTAGAGAAACTGAGAGGTGTAAGTGGGGAAGACCTCTGTTACTGACAGCAGGGTGTGTAGTTCTCCAGTAGCTGTATCCTCTGATACCACAAGGTGGCGCCTGTAACTCACAAGATGTTTAACAGATGCCAGAAACCTACTCACTCTGTACATGGTGATTCTCAGCTCACATAAGTGGCCAGCTTACATCTCTAATTATATTTTGAGGGTGGCAGTAAACATGACCTTTTGTTCATTTATGACAATTTTGAGGTTTATATGTTGTAAACATCTAATTATTTTAAATACTTAAGGTTGACCATTCAGCATAGGAATGTAGAGGAGATGTCAGAGTTGGGTTGCTATATTCTGCTGTGCAGGTTGGGGTTTTGGTGCCTTGCTCAAGGGCACTTCAGTAGTGCTCGAGAAGTGTCCTGGCACCTCTCAAGCTACCAGGTCCGCACTGGGACTTGAACCGGTGATCCTCCTGTTCCCAACCCAAGTCCCTACGGAGTGAGCTACTGCCACCCCAATGGTAACATACTGTTAGCTTTTCTGCTCATAACTCAGTCGAAGACTATGAGCTGACTCAATTTAATATTTGTTGTATTACTTATTACTACTTACTTTCTGATGTTCGTCACTTTGGGTCAAAGCGTCTGCTGAATGAATTGTAGAATTGTTTTACTAGAGCTGTAAACAACATTTCCATGTACTTAAACCTAATGAGATGGTAATTGTTGTTTCAGGTTATAATAAATAAACAAATGTTAAACTCTGGGGTTATAGCTTTTTATAAACTTCAAATTTCAATCCCAAAACATGTGAAAACATACCATGGTCTAAAGCTAAAATAAAATCCATTAATTATTAAGTGAGGTGATTCCCCTTGAGGTGTCCATTTTCAGGAGTTTATGTATCCTAAGAAAGCGACTGTCCATCCTGCTTCTGGCCTCCAAGTTGTCCATAATTCCTGATAATGGAAGACTTTCCCTTCCCTATACTGATCTTATTTTAAACCAACTTCTCAAGAAA